CTCTAATTTAGGTGTACTGACTGAGGTAATAGGATACTAGAATAGCCGTTGTCTATTATCTATTGTCATCGTCAAAGCAGGGGAAGACCTCGGACGCGAACTGAGTCTCCTTAGTGATAAAACACTTTTGAGGAACGCTGTACCACTTGATGGTAGGGCATTTATAATTGTGGTTCTTTGCCAATTTCCTGTGTGCTATAGACCCCCCTCTTATTGCGAGAGCTGGCACTCTTTGAATGCCATACATGCCTGAGATCCAGAAGAAGATATGATCTCTGGAACAAGAATTTTATTTGCCCGATGTTTCCGATTCTGTCGAGAGTCCCTAATCATAGGTAACCGTAGAATGGTGTGAGACACGCACAGATGCTAGAAGGGTTACCCCTGCCGATCAGTTTGTGGATCGTTGTGAGGGGTGTTTGCGCAGAATTACAGCTACAAGATGAAGGTTGCAATAAATGTAGGGGACTGAGGCATATTGAGCGTCCGCGTAGCTAAATGACTTGAAGGTGTGGCGCATATTTCCAACTAATTCACTCTTTCAGTCACGCCATTTGCTTGCTCGTATCGTGCTTTCACATTCTGATTTGGAAGCTACTGTATTCTGGCCAGTTATCTTGTTCCGCAGGCCGCACCTTCTGTAGCGCCGTGATCAATGAACCAACTGCATGTTTGCCCGCGGTCACAGTACACGTTCCCCCTGTTCAACTTACTCTGCAATTCACTTCAATCTGCAAATTTGGTTGCGCTTTCAATCGACGCACGCACCTATTGACTTACCTAACAGTACAATTGTTCCGCACCCCTGTGGAGACCTAGAGAGGATCAGGCTTGGTCTTGTTAGAAATTGGGTCACCGTCGTAACGTGAATGAGTAACTAGGGTCACAGCGCCCTCTTCCGTCTTAAATTGGAGCATTGGCCGCGGGCGCGATATTTTGCCAACGTTGTGCAGTTTAAACGCAGCATCACGTGACGTCGGCTGGGGCTCTGAGGTCGTGTGCGTACGTACTGTCCCTCGAGTTTACGGCAAGCTTACATAGCTAAACGGTTTGCGCGCAACCTCGCGTGCTGCATAAGCTAATGGTAGATTCCCGTGACTCGAACGCACAGAGCTATGGACTGGAAAACAAAATAACATCTGGCAGCCAGCCAGCCAGTTCGTAGGCTTGGCTGTTTAACGGAATAGGACCTTACCGTGCACGTTCGGTGCAGCAGTTGCTCCGGCTAGTCTCCGTATTTAATCTTGTCTTCTGTTGGCATTGGTGTCCCATTAGGGCTTAAAAGAGGAATTAACGTTAATTCTGTGCTACGTGTATTCCCTTATTGCCAAATTGGCGCTATAATTACCTTTATCTTGCTCCCAACCCCTCTTATTGTTACTTGAAGGTCGTATGTGCTGTTCTTGTGGTAGTCATTCGGGACTTGCAGACACGTCTCTGTGGGTTTGTTGCTCCGGAGTATCAAAGCCGTTTGCCCGACCAATGAGAGCTTCAGTGATCTCTCTTTCACGCACAGGTTTGCTTTAGTAAATGACACTGAACTGCGGGCCCTGTCATCATTTAGAGCGTCGATATTGTCACCCCAGGATGCGCCAGCTGATTGAATTTTGTTTTATATGTCCTCTCACTTTCTGTACAATTTAGTATGAAAATGTTTGAGTAATCTCTGCACTATTATCGTTTTATTACTCCGATAAAGTATTAGTGTCGAAATATGAATTGTTTAGGTTTTCAGTAGGAAATGGCTTTTGAGTTTACTACGCTCGGGTCTTTTAGTACTTGATATCTTGTCTATTTGATCATCATCTGGGTGTCTTGTGAATGGATAATTTCCAGAAAAGGAAGCCTTCAAGTTTCTTGAGTTTACTCCAATGACTCCTTTAGTGTTGGCCCTCTGCCACAGCGTCTGTTCGATTTGCTGTGCGTACTTACTAACCTGCTACGCCAAGACTAGTGTTAACCGCATAGTTGTGTGCCAGGAAGGGAAGTTGGTTCAATGACCTCGGCACAAGCTCATGGGATTTAAGATGGTCTCGACAGTTTTCATCTAACGCGACCAAATGAGTATATAAACTATTCAGCCCTTGCTTTTTTACTGTTCTTGAATGTTCGACCGCCAGCGGTGCTACATGCTGAGGCTGTCAACACGCCCCCGTTTAGCATATGATTGTATTTTCCCTTCCTTGTAGCATGTGCTGGAGCATGGTTCACAGGAGGACAAATCGCGAATCATTAACGGCCTCCGTGGACGCGTGCCAGTTCTCTCTTCGCACAAATTCGCCTCCAACGTGATGGAGAAGGCGATTGCCAATGCCACGCCAACTGAACGTGTGGCCCTAATCAACGAAGTACTTCAGACTCCTGCCTCGCCACCACAGCCACACGCTGCATCCGGAACTGCTGTCGGAGCAGCATCTGCGTCGGCGCCAATTCTGATTGGCGGCGGCGGCGGCAGCAGCACCACTAATGATGATGGATCAACTCCCTCCGTCCTCGTGGACATGATGAAGGACCAGTACGCCAATTACGTAGTCCAGCGTATGCTGGAATTGGCCGAGCCACAGCAGCGTCGTTTGCTCATCAGCCGCATTCGACCGCTTCAGAACACACTGCGCAAGTACAACTATGGCAAGCACATAATCACAAAGTTGGAAAAGTACAGCGGAAGTGGCGGTACTGGTGGGTGTAAGGGTCCCTCAGTTGGCGTGACTTCGTCATCACCAGTCGCTGTGCCTAATGGCAGTAGC